GCAAAAGGAAAATCATCTTGGACGAATCACAATATTCAAGTACAAGTTCGAGTAAAGAAACATTTTGCTTGATCTAAAGACGGACTTTGATGAGTGTAACCTCGAGTAGAACCACCCGGAACCACCCATAATAACAATGTAGCTGACCCCGTTCCAGCGCAAATTAGTCTCCCAACGACAAAGGGCATTGCATCTGCACGATGCAGCTGGCAGGCAGCTGCAATCCGGAGCTGTTGCGTCGGGTTGTGCGCGACCGCCCACGCACCACGCGCCGGGCCGAGAACAAAAGTATCGCTATCGGCGCATGTGCTACTATCAGTCACCCAATCTGTCTCCTCCCGACCCTCGCTAGAGCCGAGCTAGAGCGCGTCAGGTCAGGCTGATCTGCATTGTTGCACATCACAAACGTAATTAAAAACGAGTACAAGTAACGCTTGTAAAAGTGAGCGCGCCGATGTTTCGATTGCATACCATTGTTTCAATTGCATACCAAAGCTGCATTTGTGCACTAAGGTTGAATTATGCATACCAAACTAGTTGCAATAATACCTTACCTCCGTTCCTCCGTTGATACTTTGAATGCACCCATACCGCCGGCGCGCGCCCTGGCCCGCCTTTCGCCATCCTACCAGATCCCACATATGCACACGGGTCACCAGAAGAGAACGGCCTTATCTGCCGGCAAGGCCTCAGGCAAGGCCCACGGCGTGACGGTCCTTGCTGCAGGTTCACGGACAGAAGATGCGTCACAATGCGGCGCGCTGGACGTCGCTCGGACGAGCAATACATTAGTACATTGCAGGCAACCGCGTGTTTGCAAGGAACGCCCCGGGAACACTGTGAGAAATTCCTGTAAATGTTATTGATGGGAAAATTTCACAGATATTGTGTTGTGTTGTAAAATAACAACTTCAACTTGTAAAATTAACAGCACCATGAGTTGGAATTAAATTGGCAAATCAAGAATGGGCTGTCGTAAATTTTAAAAAACAAATTATTCTGCCAATCGTACAAACATTTTGGATTCGATTTTCGAAAATGCTTACCCGGCCACTGTATTCAGCTTCTATACCCTGTGACGCCTGCAATCGAAAACACGACGTACGTACAACGACATGTCGCGTCGTTTGGAGAGATTTTGTTTTGATGATGAATGCGCGAGGAGACACGCGTCAAAACCATTGTCTTGTGAGTCGCGCGTCAATACCGACTCCCAGTCAAAAAACCCACTTGCATTCG